TACTGCAATTGGGCCGGTTTGGAAGACGCCTGCACCGTGCGGAATTTGGAAAACTTCGTCTCTTTCTGCTTACAGTCTCTGCCACGATTGGTAAAAGCTCATAAAAATCTAATAACTCTTGCTACAAAATTTGACAATTCGATTTTTGACAAAAATTTTTTTAAACCTCCCGTAATCCGTGATAACTCGTTATTGATAAATGTATAAACGCTAATCCTATTTGCTTATTATCTGGCCGAACATATGACCGAAATACTTAAGATAAAACGGCGTAATCGATAGATAATGGGAACTAAGGTGTGTATTAACGAAATAAGATGATAAAAAGGTCAAAACTTTTGGGAACCGTTTTATCAACTTCGCATACAAATAAATCTGTTCCGAATGTCTACTTTTAAATCAAATTCTTTCCAACTACTCCATATTAAAACTAATAAATTAAGCGAATGAAATGAATTGATATTTGCCAGGTGAACATGCGCACAACATTAAAAGTTATTAATTTTTCCCAAAATTTAAGCATTACTTATTATAATTAAATAAAATTGAAAATTAGAGTTTCAATTTTTCGTCACAAAATGTAACAATATAACGAGCAAAAAATTGTAAGGAAATATGGTGCAAAGCAAACAAGCAGAGCATAAAATATTACCATTAATATAAAAGTAAAATAATTAATTGCGTTCCTTTGCTTTAGAACCATAGTCTATATTGAGAGTGATAAATTAATAATGTTGGTAGGCCAAAAAGGGTAAAACGATTGAAGTTATAAATTTTTCCGAAAAATTACGTATTATTTATTATAATTCAATGAAATTGAAAGTTAAGGGTTCATATTTTGTTCACAAAATTATAACGTAATTATAGTATTATTTTTAGTTCCGTGATTTGAATGGTCATGAATAGTTCAACACAACAAACTAATTACATAAAATATTTATATTTATATTTCAAGATCTGATTTTTTAATATTTGTCTTGAGCTCCTTTTTCATAAAAGAAGGAACTGCCCTAACTTTTCTATTAAAAATCTTTACAGACATTTTTTTTTTCAATCCGTAGTCAATGACACAGGTCTACAGTGATTTTGATATTTGAAAGGTGTTTGCTTATTTGTATATTTTGTATCATTTTTTTATAACGCTCTATATCTTAAAAATGTTACTATATTAATATACATACCTATGACATGAGTATGTTTGTGATTTGACAACACTGGATAATATTACATTTCTCTGCAAAGCAACAGAATTGGCGCATAAGCGTCAATCCAGCTGATGCGCAGTTTGGTTGTTTCTACTCTTGTAGAACGTATAAATACATTGTATGAACAATCCAACTAACTTTTGTTATACCTGTCAGCAAGCAAAGTCAAACTGTAACTTATTTTGTGAAAAATGTATACCACGCTTATTTTGGTGTAAAAATTTGTTCCGTTTGCGTTGAACCATTAAGGAACTGACAAAAAGGTAGGAAGAAATGTTTAAGCTTTGGTGTTCCTATGGTATGGCGAGAGCGTAGGAATCACAGTGGTGATTGTTATTTTTGTTCCTGTAATGTTCAAGGATTCAACAAAAAAATAAGAAACAAATTATGTATCGACCAGTTCCTCATGGACCATATGTACCGATACATACCGCCCCAAGAGAATTAGAAAATCTCATATCGTCGGAATCAGAGGAATCTAATTCCGACCCAGATGACTCAGATTTCACACCAGATTTTAGTATTTAACCAGATCGAATTAAATGCATCCGAATTGCTAGCGTCCAGGGTTCGTGACAATCATTTACTGGCAGCTAGCGTCACGTCAAGTTTTTACCGGGATCTCGAAAAAGAGTTATGAGAATATTTTATTCAGGAAAGACCGCTAATGTATTGCAACAACATTCCTGACATAGTTTTATTGCACAATGGTAACGAACTGACCTCGGTTCCCGTTGGGCATTCGGCACATTTAAAAGAAACGTATGAAAATTTACGTCTTCTTTTGAAGAAAATAAACTATCAAAGTGCTGTCCGTGCTCCTAGGCCAACAGATGGGTTATACACAATTTTTGAGTGGGATAGTCGGTCAAGAGATAGACATTGGACTCAAATAGAATGGCCCTCTAGGACACGCCTTATACATGGTACCAAAAATGTATTAAGAGATAGCTTAGTTGATCCCAAAAAAGTTTTACCGCATCATCTTCATATCATACCTGGCTTGATGAAGCAGTTTGATAAAGCCCTAGGCACAAATGGACAGTGTTTTAAATATTTGTGGGAGACATTTCCAGCCATATCCGATGCCAAATTAAAAAAAGGTATTTTTGTTGGACCGCAGACAAGCATTTTTTAAACACAATACCATTTAAAGAAGTAGTTGATATTTTTTTTGGGACCTTTAAGGACGAAAACTACGAATCGTCTATGTTGTAAATTGCATTTCCTGTTTTCACACTTGAAGTATTTTCCTGCAGATCTTGGAGCAGTTAGCGAAGAACAGAGAGGGGGGTTTCACCAGGACATTAAAGAAATGATAACGATGATAGCGGTCTACTGCTGGATGTTAAAACGGGATATGCCCTTAAAAACACACACCCGAATATCCAGAGAACGCCAGCTTTCTGGCAAAAAGACAAAGATTTCAGTCAAAAAAGTCTGGGTAAAAATTTTTGCTGATTAAAAAAATAAATTATTTTACAAATAACGTTCTTTTTCTTTTAATATTTGCAAAAAAAACCTTACGTGGTAGAAACAAATGCATATAATTTTTGAAACCAGCCTTCCGAAATTCTATTAAATTAGTTTTCAAAATGAATGAATCTGTCAAAAAGTTTAATTTTGTAGACCTGTGGAAAATATGTTTACCTATAACATTCCATGCTAAAATAATACTCATATATAAAACATCTGATTTTGGCTGAAAATTTGCACGTCAATTTTTGTATCCTTTTTCATACAAGGAATATAAAATAAAAATATTATTTTATTTTAACAAAGCAAAACAAAAAAAATCGATTGTAATTTTTGACAAAATTGCGTCAAAAAATCACTATAGATCCAGCTCGTTTTCAAAGTATTTGCCAGTTCTCCCCCGCTATTGTGGGGCTCGGATAAAATATCCATCCCGTTGACATTCGACTCGCCATTTTCATTGCGTCATTTTCAATTTTCGCTTCTAATCGAAAACGTTGAGGCGACATAAAGAAAACGTCGGTTGCGTTCCCTTCGAATGCTGAGTTTTGGATTTCCTTTCGTAATCTTTTTTTTATCGCATTGCTATCGAGTGAAATCGAGACGGACAACAGACAATTAGATTATTTCTAAAGAAACACCCAAATGCGAAAACTCATTTAACCAAAGTCATGCCGCGCCTAATATTAATATACTGAGAGTTGAGAAAAATTGGTGCAAACTTTTAAAAGGATTTTTCATAAAATAACTTTCTTTCTGAGCTCAGATCTGTATAGATTCTCACCGTTCCTTAATTAAAATTGTCGCATTTTTTAATTCTCATTATGTAAAGACTTAAGGCAGGTTTATGGAACGAAAATAGAACTAACCAGAACATCAGAAAAATGCGCACAGTAGATTAGATCAATCACTGAACATCACGAAGAATCGTAAAGATCATGAATGTCAAATAGTCGATATGGAGTGAAAGGAACGAAGAAAAACAATCAATTTGGTTACGCATAAGCTGGAAGACGTAGAAAAAGAATACAAATTTTCCAGTTAGAAGAGTTGGTTCTTGGCATATCAAACTCTCTGGCAAAAAGGCAAAGATTTCACTCAAAAAAAGTCTGCATAAAGATTTTTTTAACTAGGATTTTTCAAAATGAAAACATCTGTCAAAAAGTTTAATTTTGTAGACCTGTGGAATAGTATATTATGCAACAAGTGCTGTAAGCGTCATTTGACTCACAAGTTTTTAATAAACGAGTGAATTAAAAAGTTTACCGAACGTGTGCACACTATACTTTTTCTACGAACGTTAGTTTTTGGGTACATTTTCTCAAAATAACACAAATGCATTTACTGACATGACCGTCAGAATTGACAAACGTCAAAATTCAAAGCGTGGGTAATATCTCCGAAAACATCCGATTGCTCCCGAATCCGTGCGGTAAAATCCCAGAAATGTCCGAAGTGGCTCAGATTCATGGGAAACGAAACTGACTGACTGACGTGGGTCTGTAAAAAAATACTCAAATGAATATAAAACATGTGATTTTGGCGTCGATAGTGATGATAGAGAAACTACCAATTGGCAAAACTGTTAGTTGGACTTCATGCCTGTTGCGATATTTGAGATATGTTCTATCATAAAATCCAATAATAATTCACAATCGCAAAGGCTTTCCAATATAACACACAATACATTCTTTCTTCTTAATTTAATCTTTTTTAACCCTATATGGGTGAAACTTCCTTGAAAATGCAACATTAATTAATATTTTGTGTATTTTGAGAAAAATAAAGAGACGACACAGTCCTGTGTGGATATTTTAAGTTGCCTTTGTTACAGGTTTACAATTTATTGATTTGTAATTTTCATACCCAACACCTTTTTGTCATTATCCATTTATAGGAGTACATCAACAAAATGGGGGATCCTTAATAACATTTTCATGAATCTGGTGTGCTCGAAATGTCACTTTAAAAATTCAGCTTTACTTTTCGCGTACTTTAGTCGCGGGTCAGATGCTCAGCTGCTCTTCGCGCGTCTCTTAACGCACTCGTGACTAAAATGTAAGTTATGGTACCTCGAGTGTCTAAAATTAACAGCATATTAATCAAACAGACGACGCGATTTTTATTAGCGGAACCTCAAACAAATAAAATGCCGCCAAATGTTCGAAATTAACTCTCGCACATAATTAAACATCGCGGGCAATTACCGACACAGATATCGCTCCAATTATCGGTCGAAATAAAAAAATACAACCGTCATATAACAATTAACATATTAAAAGCCACGTGGAACTTACGAATGATTTATTTTTGTTGCAGCTTAGCCGAAGGTTCGAGACATACAGCGAAAAACGGGTCCGAACGTCAAATCCCTCCGCAAACGCCCTGGTGACGTCCGGCAGGACGTCGAAACGTCGGAGCTAGCGTACCCCATGTTTTTTCAACTGCTGTTCGCCATCACTCGACTCGGGCGGTCACCGCGGAAAAAAATCGAGTTCGTCTCGCCATAGATTGTCGCTACAAGCAAACATTTATCTCAGTGTATGTTATTAGACGCGCGGTTCTCTCAGTGTACATAGACCGTTTCAGTTTGTTGTTGTTTCGTTTGTTATCGGGAATCGTTGCAAAATGAATCGGGCGCAGAAGAATAATTTGAAAAAATTGTCGTTTCTCGGATTCGCTCAGAAGGTAAGATATGTATTGTTTTCTTCGACTTTTTATGGTTACTGCACTATAAAAACGTTCGATTTTATCGCGGTTGTAAAATATTGTAATGGCGGATTTAATTGATTCGTCTAACGATAGGGGATTTGTTTATACCCGTGATGTATTGTTGATCTTAAAAGCAACATGGTGTACTATCAAAACACAGTATAAACTATTATTCAAAACGAATAAATCAATTTCTATTAATATTTTTATCATTTTCATCAATATGGAGCTTTAAAATGGGATAATAAACTAAAATATCAAAAATGTTGAATGGATTACCAAAAATAGGGTACTTTTAGAAAACTTTATTTTAATTATTTTGTTTTTATAAAAAGTTAACTGGCAGAAGCGTGAGGGCATAAAGTTCACCAGATTTTCAATAGTGCCTGAGAATATTGTTCTATCCCTCTTGTTTGTGCAGCATTTCTGCTGGATCGTCTAAATATCGGCCGACTATAATATTTTATATTCTATATATAACATTGATAACGATTGAAGATAACCAGTCACCAGTCTGGCATCTGGCAATGTCGTGTTAAACGACAAATTGTGGACATTTCCCTGTAGCAAATAGCTTGATGTAGTGTTCTAACAATTCCATCTCGATATACTTGCAATTTGATGGACCTTGTTAGAACCTTAATGGATGCATACCAATTAACAGACGGGAGTAGAAAATAGTATATTATGCAACAAGTGTGGTAAACGGCATTTGACTCACGAGTTTATTTGACACGAGCGGAGCCAGTGTTTAATAAACGAGTGAGTTAAAAAGTTTACCGAACCTGTTGCATACTATACTTTTTCTACGACCGTTAGTTTTTGGGTATATTTTCGCAAAACAACACGAATACATTCACTGACAGAACCGTCAAAATTGACAAACATCAAAATTCAAAGCGTGGGTATCTCCGAAAACATCCGATTGCTTCCAAATCCGGAAATGTCCGAAGTGACTCGGATTCATGGGAAACGAAACTGACGTGGTAAAGTGACGCTTCCCGCACGCTAGATCGGTAGGTAATTAGGTATATTACAGGCAGGAGTAAAAAAACACCTTTTCTATCATTTGTTTGCACTTGCCTCGTTGTGGCTAAGTTGATTAATGTTCTAGTTTAGATAATTTCATGCAAAATTTAACCGCGTTGTGCTCACAGGTTAACTGAGCCCTCCCAGCTTTAACTAGATCATGTGGGATTTTAGATCACCCTCGACGTCACCAATTTGCGAAATGTTTTTATCGTTTTTCAGACAGGATAAAGTCTTCGTAACTTCAAAAAGCCGGCAAATCGCCGAACGACTTCTTTGCACTCTTGGGTAATGAACCTAGCAAAGTGTGATCTAAAACATTTTTTCTACTCCCGCCTGTAAAATACTTAATTACACACCGATCTAGCGTGCGGGAAGCGTCACTTACCACGTCAGTTTCGTTTCCCACGGATCCGAGCCCCTTCGGATATTTCCGGGATTTTACCGCACAGGTTTGGGAGCAATCGGATGTTTTCGGACCTGCTTTTTCAAAATTCAATCCTCTTAAAAACCCTACCCTTAGATGATTTTTCTTCCAATTGCAGTCTTTTTTTTTAAATAAACTACTTAATGATCAATTGTAAAAGTAAAATAAACAGCATAACGTTTTACAATTGTGTTGATTCCGTTGTTTATATGATATATCCAATAATACATTTCTCTCTTTAACGTACACAGTTAAAAAGAGACAACAATAGCAGAACCGATCGGAAAGATAAACGAGTAGGTTTAATGGCAACTGGTAAATGTGTTGTTTGAATGGTACGTAATTTAGTAATCTGATAATTTGTTATTATTATTATTAATTTGTTAAATTGTGGTTTTTTCGTGACGGTCGTAGAAAAAGTATAGTAGGCAACGCGTTTGTTAAACTCTTTATCTCACTCGTTTATTAAGCACCCGCTCCGCTCGTGTCAAATAAATTCGTGAGTCCTAAGTGCAATTTGTCCATTTCAAATCTTGTTTACATACGTTGGGGACGCTTTTCATAATAGAAGTAGGAATTTTGTGACACTTATCCTCTTCTATTAGACATTTCGAAATTAACTGTCTCTAAATAGCAATAGTTTTTGAACCCCAACATGTTTTTAGTAAAACATATCAACAAAGTAACTATCGGACTACCACATATATCAGGTTAAAACCTGTAATGTTTTTATAAAGCGCCTAAAAATAACGCATATTGAAGCTTACCTCACTAGCTAGTTTGCAAATGATCGAATCGTATCGGCATTGTTATTGGGTTGTTCGGAAAGTCATTTCGTTTTTTTTTGGGGAACATGAAAGACAGTTTTCGTATAATGAATAAATATTTTATTAAATTATATATTGGCCATTCTGGTCCAACAACTTTTGCCATTTTTCTGGCAGTAACATAATTCCCCTCTCATAAAAGTTTTGGTCCTTGCTGGCAAAAAACTGGTTCAGGTGGTTTTTGACATCTTCATTTGAGGTAAAGGTTTTGCCATCCAAAAAATTTTGCAGGGACCGGAACAAATAGTAGTCGGAAGGCGCCAGATCTGGAGAATATGGTGGATGTTGCAGTACGTCCCATTCAAGCTGTAAAAGTTTTTGGCGAGTGACCAAACTTGTGTGAGGTCTCGCATTATCCTGGTGGAACACTACACCCTTCCTGTTGATTAATTCGGGCCTCTTCTCTTTAAGTGAATCATTCAATTTGTCCAGTTGATGACAATAGACTTCTGAATTAATCGTTGTATTGTCCGGCAAAAGCTCAAAAAAAAAGATTCCTTTGACATCCCATCAAACGGGGAGCATCACCTTTTTTTGGTGAATGTTGGCTTTTGACACGCTTTGAGTCGGTTCATCTTTTCTGCTCCATGACCTCTTGCGTTTAACATTGTTGTATATAACCCATTTTTCGTCCCCAGTAATAATCCGCTTCAAAAATGGATCATTTTCTTGACGTTTGAGGAGCGAATCACACACGTCAACGCGACAACACAAATTTCGCTCCGTAAGGACATGGGGCACCCACACATCGAGCTTCGAGGTTAAGCCCATGCCTTTCAAATGGCCATAAACAGTCGAATTCGACAAATTTAATCTCTCACCGATCTCTCGTGTGGTTATTCGCCGATTTGCATCAACTAATGCCTTTATCGCATCTTTGTCAGCTTCGACCGGCCTTCCAGACCGTGGTGCATCTTCGACATCAAAATTGCCGGATCGAAATTTTGCAAACCAGTTCTGGCACTGGCGTACTGTTAACACGCCTGTTCCATACACATCCGTCAATTTTTTTCTCGCTTGGACAGCATTTTTACCTTTTCTGAAGTAAAAAAGTAAAATATGACGAAAATGCTGCTTATTGCTCTCCATATTTAAAAGGGCACCAACCAAAAACTACTGCGTAGAATTAATAGAACTTTTTCACACACAAGCCTTGCAATATCAGCTCTCAAGACATATAATGCTTATGCGGCTTAAGTGTGAAGTTGGTTTCGAAAAAACGTAATTAAGTCCTCTGACGGGAAAAAACGAAATGACTTTCCGAACAACCTTATAAAATAATGTTGATTGTCAAGTTATATCGGAATATTTTTCTTTTCAAAAAATTAAAACATCGGAATTAAAAACGGACATTCTGAAAACTTGCAATGCTATGTTAAAAATTGCATTAGCAATAACGCTAACGGTAAGATAATAAAAGAGAGATCGTCATATTTCTAAGAAAATCATTAAAGGAAAAAACAAACTTTTGCTTCTCCATACAAATTCCTGTTGTTTCTTTCCTTATTCAAACATCAAAAATTGATAATAACATGAAATAGCAAAGAAATCTTATTCTCACAGTTACATATATACATTACATAAATATCTAAAGCATATATTGGAAACGATGATTACAACTATTATTAGTTATTATACATTTTTTCTGTTTTATTAGGAGCTGAGAAGTTACATCCTTTGCTAAAACTTAAATGTGACACCTGCGCATCTGTACGATTGTTTTTTTTTATTGAATGTGGGGGGAGGGGGGCAGTTATAAAACATAATTCTTCGCACATGTTTCCAACTTCCAAGAGAACAACAAAGTTTTTAATTTATAGGAAACTAGGTCAAATTTAAACCAGGCATATAAAAAATCTCGAAAAAAAAATCATGACGTATTTACACTTTAACACTTGAACAACAACAATTAACAATTAAACTCAGTGATATGTGTGATAATTTTTTCTTGAAAATCGCCGGTGTAACCGTATTCCAAACAGAACGATTTTATCGAACAAAATGTCATGAAACAGTCGCCCTCTTTATCTATTACCTAGAATGATCTAGATATAATCATTTTAAGTGTCCCGCATTCTTTTGATGAAAATCAATGTAAATTACGTGAGCGTGGAAGGCGTGGCAAGATTCGTTCGAGATAAATCGGCGCATTCCAGAGTTCAACGTCCCTTTCAAACAACAGACTAATTTTTCGGGTTTTCTCTATTTAATTGAATAATTTTATAAAGAAAAATTATGGGGCCGCGCAATCTTTATGTCAACGGGCATAGAACGTAAGTTAACAAAAAAATCATTAGTTTTCTGAGAAAAATTATATTTGAGAGGCCGGCAACTTGAAGAAAGGTACAGCATATGACGCGGCCTCCGGCTGGCACACCTGCTTCGCTCGTATAGCCAATTCCTGGGATCGTGAGAAAAATACGTTCTTTGCTCACTTGTAATCATATAGCTATATTATTTGCAAAAAGAAAAGAGCGTAATGGCTTTCAATCGTCCCTCGGGAGAACGTCGGTGGATATATTTAGAGACGCCCCTACGGAACTAAAAGAATACGAATAAAATTGGTTTTGCGGATAAAACTCGAGAAATCGTCCAGGGTCATACCCACATGATAATTTTACTTTAGCATGAAACATATATTTATTTGTCTGGTAAGTTTTTTTTCTTTATATCTCTGGTTCAATTTAATTTAA